AGGTAAAGTGTGAGCTAAAACAATAATTTGAGAAGCGCTTTGTCGGAGACAGTTGTTAAGATGTTCCTCTAATAGAGGTGCAGGTGCATCTTTTTGCAAATGCCCAAAATTGAAATTTTTCATTTTCAAATTCAGATCATCAATGGTAAATATTTTTTTCTCTACTATACAGTACCTAAGAAATGATCTACAGTGAACTTCCACAACACCCTCAGCTAAAACATGCATTCCATCTTGTGGCTCACATTTTGTAACATCAAATTCTGGGATATCCATTAGCGCACTTCTATTTGTAACTCCATATTTTCTCGACCAAAATGCTCTAGCATGTTTGTTGAGATGAGGTTCTGTGATAGCACGTACATGCTCTTGGTGGCTCTCTTTCTCTCTCAGAATAAAATTTTCACCGGAAAATGAATGTCTCCACTCATTTTGTGTTGTCATACATGTACGACAAAGGCGGTAGGCTGATACTGACTGTTTGAAACCACCCATCAGTGCTGAAGCGGGAGTATCCCCAGCTACAAATAGTAGGGACCCTTTGTAGACTTTCTCCACTCCTCTCACATTTATTGTGACTCCTTCATTTTGTAATACTTTTATGTCTGCTATGAAAGATTCCAAGATTTTACCTATTCCATATTTTTGTAATATACTATGCTTCACTACTGACAACAAGTTAACATTTTGCAATGTAGACCGTATTTCTGGGTAAATGTTTGCCAAAGTCCAATAAAATATTGCGAGCTTATGTTTTTTAGTGTTCGCTCCAAGAGGATTTACCACCTCAAGATCATCATAGTACAAAATAATCGCAAGAGCATTTTTGTTTCTTCGGAAAAAATCATTCGTTTGGTAGAAAGAACCATCCAAAATAGTCCTGTATACATTGTTTTCCTTCAATCTGGGGTTGTCGACACAGAACCTCACCTCATCATTACACAGCAAGTTTTTAAGATTAAGTAAAAATGGCACTGTATAAGCATATACCTTTTTCTCTATGAGATCAGGTATACTATGATTTTTATGTTTATACTTCCACATTAGATCTATGCCAAGTACTGTTTTTTCTGGCATCACGATGTTAAACTTTTCTTTGAGAACTTTATCCAGCATATACTTAGATTCCACTGAGGAAAACAGAGGGGATGGGGAAAATATTTCTTCGTACATTTGTTGTAATACATCAAGATGAAGAAGTCGTGTGTCTGGGTGAGCCTGTCTGCTCACCTGCTCCTGAAAAAAAATTCTCTATTGGTGCAAGAATATTGTTATAATAATAGAAAAACTAACGTTTTAGACTTGACTGCTTTGAGAAACAAAATCCTTCATCAGTCACGACATTAAAAAAAAATACGTACCAAGACGCATGATGAAAATTCGGCTAACAGATCTTGCACTCCAGCAATAACGTGCTGAACGGCAGTATGAGACATTTTGCACGTCTCTCGAATGTGAACTAAGAATTTCGCTGCATGCCATTCCAAACGGTCTGCTACTATAAAAATTGATTATTCTTACAAGGGAACGGCATGACCACCGGAACACTAATTTGGCTACAGTTTGATAGATACTATGTATGTGTTACGTTATTTCAGTATTGTTCATAGTGCTGTAGTGTAACGCTATAACAACTCTTAAATACATCTGAGATATCATGTCCTCAATTTTTTGTTTAGTTATACTTATTTATCTTTTTAATTAAAAATAATTAAAATTATTACATTTAAATAATACATTAGTAGTTTATTATTATTAAATTGCTAATAATATATAATATAAATGAATAAAAACATGAAACACAATTGTTTCTACAGTGATTAAATCTAATAATTATATCTGATAACAATTTATTGGATATATTATTTTATTCTAGTTTACCTAGATAGCACAGAGAATTCAAAAAGAATTCAGTCATATGTCACCAATTTTTAGTTGATTTTTAAATGCAAAAAGAATTATTTTCACTGAACTGTCAATAATTTTGTTTACATATGAAAATTAACTCAGAATTGATGACATATGACTGATTCTTTTCGAACTCTTTTTTAATTCTCTGTGTCATCTGGGTAGTTTTTTATTATGAATATCATTAATTTAGGTAACACAACCATTTATTTATTTATTTATTTATAATAAATGCTGTTGAAATCATTCATATTCATGTTTTATTTTCATTTCACGTACTATATACTCCTTACAAACTTGAACAATTCATTTAAAAATCGCTATTCACTGCATCCTTATAAGCATTCAGTGTGTATACGAAAATAACGCAATGATATCAACAATGTTTTAATATTTAGGAACTTACTTGCATTTTTATCTTGTGTTTCTTGTACTTGATCTTCATTTTGTACGGTATCACAAAATATTTCGTCCACATTCTCTGGGTTATCCACATTTTCCAAATCAGCTGGATGATTTCTGCGGACGTGCTGTTTGAAAGAATTCCATTTGCGGAAAGTTGCACCACAACCATACTGGTTACATTTAACTCTAAATGCAGGTTCATGCTTGTGGAAACGCACTACGTGTCTTATTAATTGAGTTTGTAATTCACACTCAAAAAAACACATTGGGCATGAAAGAACTGTAGGAATTTCACGTTCTTCCATCATTCTGTTCAATGGTTTCGATAATCAAAGATATTTGTGCTCGCCACCGTCTTCATAAGCTTCAGTGCATTGAGTTAAGTTAGATTATAGCATTACCGGCAGAGCTTTTACTAGGTCTATTCTAGGTTTGTCGTGTCGCATTCCACAACGTGCTCCTACTCGCTCCAACGCACTCTGATTGGTCCGTGTGGTGACGTGAACCAATCAGAGTGCGTTGGAACGAGTAGGAGCACGTTGGTGAATGCTGCTCGGGCCGATCCGTGGCAAATATATTTGGAAGCCCTGGGCTGCTATTCCGTTACCGTGGTTCCGACAGTTGTCGGATCGGTAGGCGTCGTTGCGCAGTTTTTCCACGATATAAAAAAGCTGCGCAACGACGCCTACCGATTCGACAATTATCGGTACGCGGGAACCTTAGAACATATATATATCGAGGGAGAATTGCGTATACCTCCTGTAGACCAAAAGTGTATTCAAGATTTGTGCGAGAGAGAAAGGTATACATTCCTATTCCTCCTCTGTGCGCATGCGCCAATATGCGTCAGTTGTTACTGGACTACAAAATTATTGGTTTCAATATTTTTTTACTTGAATTCTATCAACTTTACCGAAAAATAGCAAGAGATAAAAATTATTTAATTTCTTCTCATAGAGCTCGGAGAATTTTTTCAGAATTTTATATTAACTTTTTAATACTGCATTTTTGCGTTTTCTTGCATTTTCTTGAAGTACTAGAAAGTTAATACAAAAGTCTGAAAAAATTAATACAAAAGTCTGAAAAAGTTAATACAAAAGTCTGAAAAAATTCTCAGAGCTCTATGAGAAGAAAATTAATAACTTTTATCTTCTGTTAATTCTATAACCTAACCTAACCTGTCAACTTCAATGCATGCACAGAGGACGAATAGGAATGTATAGCTTTCTCTCTCGCACACATGTTGGATACACGTTCGTGCCAGCATTCCCCCTCCATATATATGCTCTAAGGCGGGAACGGAATAGTACCCCTGTAACCGGCTGCCGCCAAATAAACTTGTGTGTCCGTATTGCAAGTTTATACGTACTTTATACGTGTTGAGAGATTCTTTGTGGTGTTGTGTTATAACCGTTCTAGTGACAGTGACATGGAACGCAAGATTTTCTGTATAATTGGCGAACGATACAAGTGTTACGTCCTGTGCAGACATGAGTCATGCACTCTATCTTTGCCTCCTCTGTCGGGAAACAACAAACAATTCCGAATCGTAAGACCT